CCCAGGCAACATAGTGAGATCCCCCAAAATAAAAAAATTAGCCAGGCATGGTGGCATACATCTGTAGTCCCAGCTACCTGAGAGGCTGAAGTGGGAGGATTACTTAAGACAGGGAGGCCAAGCTGTGGTTGTACCACTGCACTCCAGCGTGGGTGACAGAGTGAGACCCTGTCTCAAAAAAAAAAAAAAAAAAAAAAAAGCTGTGCGCAGTGGCTCACACCTGTAATCCCAGCACTTTGGGAGGTCGAGGTGGGCGGATCACCTAAGGCCGGGAGTTTGAGATTAGCCTGACCAACAAGGAGAAACCCCATCTCTACTGAAAATTCAAAATTAGCTGGGCTTGGTGGCGCATGCCTGTAATCCTAGCTACTTGGGAGGCTGAGGCAGAATAGCTTGAACCTGGGTGGTGGAGGTTGCGCTGAGCTGAGATGGCGCCATTGCACTCCAGCTGGGCAACAAGAGCAAAACTGTGCCTGGAAAAAAAAAAGAAAGTTTTTTTTTAAACAAAAAAACCATTAATCTTTTTTTTTTTTGGATGTAGAGAGAAAAATTTAAGGCATCTTGTCCATAATTTTCCACTTTACATTGCAGTTATAAATTAATTTGGGGAAAAGTAGAAAAAAATAAAACAATCCAGATCTGAAACTAAGACAACTGTGATTTAAATGTATCTTGAGCAGTTTTTAGATGATAACTATTATTAGCTACCTTAGAGGTTTTACCTACAGATTAATTTAGTGGGAAGAAAATATTGAATACTAAAGCACAAGTCGTTGCTCTGGGAACTTCCATGCATTTCTCTATTTCATGCTAATAAAGAGACAGGTTTTATTATAATTATTAATGCATTTTTCACATAGGGAAAATTGAAGATCAGAGTGGGTAGGTACTTTTTGCAAGGACACAAATTGTTGGAAGGAGCCTATACCTGTCTGATGTTAAAACCTATGCTTTTTTTCTACGACACGGGCTGAAATACAGACACAAGCACAGTTAAAATATCTTCTTTGTCATCAGCTTACTTTTTGATCTCTATAGTTCTTATCCAATATTGAGAAATGTTGACTATAATATTTTTGTGGTAATTGTGGTGTGGATTACTTCAGCTTAGGAAAATGTCTTTTAAAAGTTGTGACTAGATAGCTTTTAATAAAATATTTCACAAAAAGTGTCAGATACTATCAGAAGACTTCAAAGGTTCCTTAAACCTTTGAATAACACAAAAACAAAACTTCGGTGAAGGTTAAAAATGGTTATCTTTTATTCAACGTTCACTATATACGTCGGGCATTGTGTTAAGCAACTTAAATGTGTTAAAGTTTCACAGCTGGGCCAGGTACAGCAGCTCACAACTGTAATCCTAGCACTGTGGGAGGCCAAGTGGTGCACTGTCTGAGTTCAGGAGCAAGAAACCAGCCTGGGCTACATCATGAAACACCATCTCTAGTAAAACACAAAAAATTAGGGGGCTGTGGTGATGCACACCTGCAGTCTTAGCTACTTGGGCAGCTGAGGCACTAGAATTGCTTGAACCGAGGAGGCAGAGGTTGCAGTGAGCTGAGATTGCATCACTGCACCTCAGCCTGGGTGACAGAGTGAGACTCTATCTCCAAAAGTTTCACAGCTGGGCAAGGTGGCTCACGCCCAGCACTTTGGGAGACTGAAGTGGGAGGATCTCTTGAGTCTAGGAGTTAGAGTAGCCTGGACAATACAGCGAGACCCCCTCTTGATTAAAGAAAAAAATTTTTTTTTAAGTTTCACAGCAGCCCTATGAGGAGTACATACTTATTGTCCTCATTTTACAGATGTGAAAACTGAAACATGGGATAGCTAAGTGACTTATCCAAAGTTGCACAGTCATTAGGTAGTAGAATGGGGACAGAACAGGCTGACTCCAAAGCCACACCTCTAAGCCTCTAGGCTACAATGCTATAAAAACCTATCAAATGAAAATCATGGGAGATAGAGAAAAAAGGACCTTTCATTTTAGCATATGTGCTGCCAAAGGGAGCACGAGAAAAGATGCTGCAACAGAAAGTTTGGCATGGTCCAAGATCAGTGACAGGGTCACCGTCTATTGCAATTAAATTAGACGAGTTAACTATATCGTATGATTTCGGAATATAAGAGGGGAAAATGTGAAAAGTTCAAAGGTGGCCGGGTTGGGTGGCTCACACCTGTAATCCCAGAACTTTGGGAGGCTGAGGAAGGTGGATCATTTGAGGTCAGGAGCTTGAGACCAGCCTGACCAACATGGTGAAACCCTATCTCTATTAAAAATATAGAAAAATTAGCCAGGAGTGGTGGCACATGCCTGTAGTCCCAGCTAATCTGGAGGCTGAGGCAGGAGAATCGCTTGAAACCAGGAGGTGGAGGTTGCAGTGAGCCGAGATAGCACCACTGTGCTCCAGCCTGGGCAACAGAGTGAGACTCTGAAAAAAAAAAAAGGAGAAAAGCTCAAAGGTATCTTCAGGTCAGTCACCTTCTATCCCTTTTCTCATTTTCTTTTCTTTATAGCTTTCACTTACCAATTATTTACTATTGATAAGTGAAATTGTTTTATTACTAATAATTTTATTAGTAACATTTTATTACTAAAAAAATATTTTACTAGTAAAATTACTTTATTACTAATCATTTACCTCACCTCACTAGACCATAACTTCAATAAAATCAAGAACCTTGTCTTTCTTACTAAATGCTGTATTTCTGAAGTTGTCCCTAACATAAATATTTATTGAATGAATGCATAAATGTCTGGCCTTCCCTGGACTCTAATGGCAAAGAATTAGATTTACAAACTGGTTCAAAAGACTGTATTACAAACGCATACATTATTAGCAATTTTTCATTGTTTGGTTTCTTAGATTGGCTAGGATACACTAAAAAAAGAAGAGGGGGAAAGAGCATATGTATTGGCAATGATAAGCCCTAAGTTATAGGGGTCAGGGGGTGGTGGCAGGGGTGAAACCTAAAAAATCCAGAGCCTTAGTGCCTGAAGTGATGAAAATGGTTGAGGTTCCTGGTGTAGGATAAAAACCATCACAAAAACTAAATTCTCAATTTTGTCTCAGAAATTCTGCTACCATAAACATTTATGGAAAGAAAGTGAAAGTTAAGTAGTTCATTTTAATATGCTAATTACTTTGCATTGTACATAGCTTTGATTAGAATGCAACATTCCTGAAGTTCTTATTGAAATTAACGTGTGTCAAATTTATGTTCAAACTGAGCACTGGTCTACATTGTTTATGTATAGTGGGTTCTTCCTGAAGATTCATTATTGTTGTTATTATACTCCTTGTTAGCATTACATCAGTGTTGAGGAGGGTGTATAGGAATAGGCTGAGAACAACAAAAGAATCGCATATGAAAAACGAAAATGAATGAATAAACAGAGGTATCTGCAGTGTAGAGTGGGAAAGGCAATGTCAATGAGGTTCTGGAGGGCCAAAGAAAACACTGTCTCCCCTAAAATGTAAGATACAGTTGCTAAATGTGTGGATTAAAACAGAGGATTCTAGACAGTTTGAAGTTAAAAAATGCAAGATTTAGAGGTTCTTAAACTTTTTGGTCTTAGGATTCCTTTACACTCCTTTAAAAATTGAAGGCCCCAAAGAACTTTTATGTGCATTATTAATACTGATATTTATGTTAGAAACTAAAATTGAGAAATTGGCTGGGCTCGGTGGCTCACACCTCTAATCCCGCCCCCAAAGAACATTTATGTGGATTATTGACACTGATATTTATGTTAGAAATTAAAACTGAGAAATTGGCGGGGGGCGTTGGCTCATGCCTGTAATGCCAGCATTTTGGGAGGTCAAGGCAGGTGGATCACCTGAGGTCAGCAGTTCAAGACCAGCCCAATACATTTTTGTATTAAAAATTTGTATTTTTACCGTGGTGACGGGTGCCTGTAATCCCAGCTACTTGGGAGGCTGAGGCAAGAGAATCGCTTGAACCCAAGAGGCAGAGGTTGCAGTGAGTCGAGATCGCGCCATTGCACTTCAGCCTGGGCAACAAGAGTGAAACTCTGTCTCAAAAAAAAAAAAAAAAAAAAAAAAAAAAAAAAAAAAAAAAAAAAAAAAAAAAAAAAGAAAAGAAAAAAACAACAACAACAACAAAAAAAGCAATCAAATGTTAAGATAATTTTTATATGAAAAATAACTACCCCTCTTGCCCCCAAATCGAGTTTTTGCAAATCTCTTTAACATCTGGTTTAACTGCAGATGACTGGATTCTCCTATCTGCTTCTATTTTCAGTCTGTTTCCTTATCACATGTCATGTAGCCTCCGGAAAACCCCACTGTACACTTGTTGAGAGAATGAGAATGCAAAAGGCAGTCTTGACATTAACATGGAAATAGTTTTGGCCTTCCCCTTGAAAGGGTCTGGGGACCCTCAGACCACACATTGAGAACAACTTTTTGAGTTAGTCAATTTATCATCCCTTGAAAATTAGCTATGAGGTTTCACAAACCAGAGGATTTAATGGGATTTACCTTTTTCAGAAAGATGAAACAACGGACATACTGAGTGTCCTCATTATAACACATCCAGAGAATGCACAAATATGCCATTTTCATCCGTCAAATGAACTGAAGCCGAACTGAGGAGACCGAGTGTCAGGTAAAAGGATGTGGGGGTGGGGGTAGGGATGACGAGCACCCTCTAAAGGCGCGGAGACCCGCTGGCACAGGAGAAGCAAAACCGGCAGAAGCGGCCGCCGAAGCAGTCTAGAGGAAAGAACTGTTTTTCTTAAGCAGGGAGGTAAAATGGTTACCGGGGGCCGGCGTGTTGCTGGAATTAGGCTCTGACAAGGAGCGCCCGGCGCCTTGACTGCGGCGAGAGAGGGACCAGGCAACTGGCACCCGCCGTCCGCGCTCGCCGCAGAACCCCGAAGGGGGTGGGCCAGGCCCGGCGCCGGGCACCCGGGTCAGGCCTTCCCCACAACTGATGGGAATGAGATTTCCTTTCCGGCTCAGCGGGTAGAAATGAGACGGTGGGATGCTTAGCAGAGGAGGTTAGACACCGGAGGCAACTAGGGGAGCCCAGCCGCGGCGCCTGAGCCTCGGGGCGGCAGGAGCCCTCAGCTGGGGTATGGACGTCGCCCGGGAAGAAGGACGGTTCAGTTGCTAGGCAACCCGGCCTGGACCCGCCTCTCGCTGGCGTTGCTGGGAGACGACGAGGCCAGGGGGAGGGCGGCGAGAGGGCCCTACGTGCTGACGCTAATTGTATATGAGCGCAAGCGGCGGGCTCTTGGGTCTTTTTTAGCGCCATCTGCTCGCAGCGCCGCCTCCTGCTCCTCCCGCCGCCTCCTGCTCCTCCCGCCGCCGCTGCTGCCCTGAGTCACTGCCTGCGCAGCTCCGGCCGCCTGGCTCCCCATACTAGCCGCCGGTAACGGATAGGGGCCTGGAAGGGATGGGGGAACGTGGAGTTGGCTGGGCGGCCTGCGCAAATGGGAGGGCCGGAGGGATGGAGGGACTGGGAGCCTGGAGTCGGGGCCGCTGGCCGCCTGAGGCCTCTGGGGTTGTCCAGTGAGGTCGGAGTGGACCGCGGAGTCCCGACCCCGCCGCCCCAGGGCCGATCAGCGCTTTTGTCCCGGATGGCTGAAGCGACGTGGGGGTCGGCGCGGCCTGAAGTTCTCTGAGCCCCACCGTCTTTTCCGCGTGGACCGGAGCGAGGCCGCGGCGACGCCCGGGTGCTCTGAGAGTGGGCCGCGCCGCGAGGGATCCGGAGGCCCCCGGCGTACTGGCCGGGCCGAGTACAGAGCTGGCTGCCTCTTCGACGCCCCCCTGCATTTCCCTAAAAAATAATACGGGGAGGGAGGCCGCTGGGAGATGAAAAGAACGGCGGAGGCTGCGAATTCCGACGGGAGGGAGGGGTTGCGGAGGGACAAGGCCCGGAGGCGGGGAGGGGGCGGGGGAGGCTGCGAAGCTCCCGGGCTCTCCGCCCACTGGGGGCGGCCACGCGGGGAGGGGAAACCCCCGGCGGCTTTCATCCACACGTGGGAATGCGCTGCGTGGCCGCCGGCTGGGCCTGGTTGGAGACCCTTGCCCTCGGGCTAACCTTACTTTGAAAGTTGCAGAGACAGTGGAATGTGAAAAGGAAGAGTGAGCTAGTAAGCCCTTTCCCTGGGTTTCATACTCTTCCCTGCTTCTCTTTGGTCTTGATCTTTTTATTGGTACCCGAGGAGAGAGTGGATGTTAGCTGATGGTGAGCAAGGGCCTCCGCTGCTAGTGCTTTAAAAAGTTAACACGTGTATAGCGCTTATGTTAACTGTTAGTAGCAAAAACTTGTAATTGTGTATCCTAAGTAGACTTAGATGGGTGTCTTCATCAGGGCTTTTTCTTTGGGGAGTATTGATCCTAATCGAGTTAAACTCCTAAACCAAGCTTGTCCAACCGCGGCCCAGGACGGCTTTAAATGTGGCCCAACACAAATTCATAAGCTTTCTTAAAACATGAGGGTTTTTTTTTTTTTTTTTTTTTTTTT